ATGTTGCACAAGGTGGGGGGGGGGGTGAGTGGGAACGCACCGGCCTGGGGGATGCTGGCCTGGACTGGACTCAGCAGTCAGCACGCGCTGCTCTGGCCGCAATCTCTGCAGAAGCACCCAGGGCCGCATTACCCATGCGCGTTCTCCTACAAAACACACACACACACACGAGCAGACTGCAGGTGCCATGTGCCGGGACCCATGCATCAACGCCGGCCGGGGGGCTGCAGACCGGTAGCCACGGGATGCCTGCGGGGGAGGCAGGCACCACGCCGTGCTGCCCCAAGCAGACCGCAGCCCAGTCCCGCGGCCCACATTGCCACTGCCCCCGGGCACCCACATCTCCAGGACTGCGTTGTCATGGGGGTCGGTCACCAGCCCCGGCCAGCCTGCGGACGGCGCGCCACGCCACACCTCGGGCAGCTCGGACCCCGGGTTGGCGTCGCGCAGAGCCAGCAGCGCCCCCGCATCCTCATCAGAAAGCTCTTGCGGCTGCGCAGGTTCAGCAGCGGCGTGTGCGGCGGAGGCGTGGTCGATGGCGGTGCATCGCAGCAGGCTTCATTGGATCGCCTTGTAGGCGCGCCGCCTTGGAAAAAGCGGTCGATCGCGCGCCATGGAAGCATTGATGAACAACAGTCGCGTGTATATACGCAAGTGTGTTATCAACAAGGCCACAGACCTCGGCCTCCGGGACACTCGCAAGGGCCGCTGGGGTGGGCTGAGGGTGCTCGAGCGTCGACATGTTGCCGCTGTAACGGGTTGTCAATTGAACATACTGTACAAGCGAAATCAAGGTCTTACGTTTGAATAGGAGTAGTGCATAAAGTCAGCAAACGCACTTCGCCAAGTGCCATCTCGATTGCGCATCTCAAAACGTGAGCAGCGCTCCAACACAGCTATGGACGTCCTCTGTAGGCGCACATCACAGCAGGTAAGCAATGGTGTCGTGATTGCAGCTCTAGGGGTTCGGTTGCGGCGCAACATGTGTGCTGCCGCACTAGGCGGAGCGCCGAGTTCCGCCCAGATTTGTCTTGCACCGGTCGTGCCCGACGCCCCGTCAAATGCGATCGCTGCGCATCTACAGATGCATTGCAGTGCGCGTGGGCCCTTGGCACAGCGACAAGGGGCCAGGATGCCGGCAGCTGGAGCAGCAGCAGCACCAGCAGCAGCGGCAGTGGCAGTGACAGCGGCACGCTGGGGGGCGCGCGCACGTTCGACACCGCGCCGCGCGCCCCGCCCCGTGGCGTCCGCTGCACCAGTGGCGCCCCTTGAGACGGCCGCTGCCACCGCCGCGGCCCCGCTCACCGCCGCCGCGGAATCGCGGGGCGATCTCGCCGCCGCCGCCGCCGCCGACGAAGGCAGCAACTTGCTGCAAGTGACGGTCCGCCCCGTGTCGGGCCTGCTGGAGCTGCGCCAGGTGGCGCGCCTGCGCGCAGAGGCTTACTATGCCGACGACCGCAGCCGCTTCGCCGAGAGCTTCAAGCGCCAGTTTGCCAGCCAGGAGGTGGACAGCCTGCAGCACCGCACCGCCCCCCGCGGCCCCGGCCGCGCGCCGCAGTGCGACTGTCTCGTCGCCGTCGACGGCGCCGGCCTCGTGGCCGGCTGCATCGACGTGCGCGTGCCGCAGGCGGAGACGGGGCTGCCGGCCAGCGGCGTGCCGGCGGGGGAGCCGCGCGGCGCATACATCCTCAACGTGGTGGTGGCGGAGCACCAGCGCGGCCGCGGCGTGGGGCGGCAGCTGATGCGCGCGGCGATGGCGCGCGCGGTGCGGGTGTGGGGTGCGACGCGGCTGTTCACGCACGTGGAGGCGGGCAACGACGTCGCGTCAGGGCTCTACCGCGGCTGCGGGTTCTCAGAGCACAGCGGCAGCGGCGCGCTGGAGGGCGCGACCACGCTGGGTGGGTGCTACCGCCGCAGCACGCGCACAGGCTGCTGGGTCATTGCATGGTGGCGATACTGCTCCGTGGGGCCGCAGCCACCATGGCGCAGCCAATCCCGGGCCAGCGATTCCAGCGGGCGTGATTGCGTCCCCGCCCGCCCACCCTGGCACACGAAATGCGCCTCACTCTGCGTACCTCTGCCCGCACCGCGCCACACCTGCAGGCCGCCTGCTGCTGCTAGTGGCGGAGGGCGATGCCGTGGACACCAGCGTGCCCAGCGGCGACGACCCTGCCCCCGCACCAGCGGCCTGATGCAGCGCACAGCGCAGTGCGCGCACAACAGCGCCGGCAGCCCCCCCGCCGCTGCCTTTGGCCGGGCGTGGCCCGTCCTGCCACCCCCTGCCCGTGCCCCCGGACTCAATACCCTTACCTGCGCCCACGCACGGGCGCCACCAGCTGCGTCGCGTGGCGCAGCCGCACGACCGCTGTGTACCTCGTCTGGGCCAGTGACATAGGCAGAGAGCGGCGCAAACCTGAGACCCATCCATTTACTTGCCTGCACGCCGCTCTCCCATGGGCTGCGGGTGCCTCCATCGGCCCTTGCGCATGTGGGGGCGAGGCACTCACAGCCCAATCACGGGATGTGCTGCCCGGGTGCGCCTTTGCTTGGTCCTGCAGCTCACGAGTCGAACCAGTGTGTACTGCTCCCGCTTGCTCCTTGCTGCCCTGGGCTCCTTGTGCCCCTGCCCCATGACCAACTGCACGAGCACCGCTGTCAGCATGATGAACCCATCACTCGAGAGAGTCCAAACTGAATGTAATGCTTGCTTTGGGATGACGCAGTGCCGACCAGTCACAAGGCCACAGGGCCACCCTGGAAGCCAGGAGAGCTGCCACGCCCCTGACCAGCACAAATGAGAGAGCCTGCATACACTGAAGCGATGTCACACGAGGGCTTACAAAAACGTACAATGCTTGCAGTGCCTCGGCTGGAACAGTGCACTGGTGCTGCAGGCGACTGTCAAAGGCATGGGGGGCCGCTCGAAGGGATGGGGGTGGCAGGAGTTTGCGCAAGCAGATGGACTTTGTGTGAGTGGCAGGTGCGCTGCCCGCGCCCCACGCAAAGGTGTGGCGCAACGGGGCGGTATAGGGCGGCGACGTGTGACGCGGGACCTGGCGCACATCAGCGCTGCATGGTGCGCCAAAGCTGGCGGGGAGCGCGAGGATTGCGGTGCAGGGGGGGGACAAGTGTAAAATGGCTATTTGGTAGGGCCAGCCCCGCGCGTGGTGTGCTGCGTGAAGAGAAGACGCGTAGTGGCGGGAGCCCTGGCCGCATGTTGCCGGGTGAGCCCAGCTGCTCTCTCGCGCTCTCTCTCCTCGTGATGCCCCAGCCGCACGGTTTTGGGAGCGCTACGGCATTCATCCCGGATTGTTGCGCTCCTGCCCTCTGGCCGCACAAAAAAAGGCCAACGGAGCGGCGGGCGCGCCTTCAAACACCATACGCAAGCCAGGATGAAGAGGTTTGCTGGCGAGGGGTACGCGGCGGCGACAAACTCCGACAAACAAAAGTCAAGCCCACAATGGGCGTTGCGAACGTCGAGCGCGCATCGCGCAGCCGCCAGGTTCGTGATAGGCCCACTAAAGAGTGGCTCAGGGCACAGGAAGAGGGCGGGTGTTTTGGGGCGGCCGCCCGCGCTGGCAGCTGCTCACGCGAGGCCGACCAGCTTCTCGCTGACCTCCCAGAGCTTCACGGCCTTGCCGTCATCCGCCACCTCCTCTGACACCTGGTTCTCAAACGCGCCCTTGGTGTTGGACCAGCTCCAGTAGACGCCGTTCTTGTTGAGG